ATCTATGTTTTCATTGCCTAGGCTGGCTTACTCAAAGGACAAAATGGTCCCATTTCAAATTTACCCCTGCACAAAGGAAATCATAATTCCTGGAGGCTAATTGCTGCTCATTAACAAGGTGCTGGTTGCATTCCTAACCACATGCCCAGGAATGCAACAAAGACTTCTTTAACAATCATCATCATCATGATCATCATGTGCTGTCAAGTCAGTTCCGACTTACAGACTTCTTTAACGATCATCATTATCATCATGTGCTGTCAAGTCAGTTCCAACTTATGGCGACCCTTTTCAGGGTCTCTCAAGGCAGAGAATACTCAGAAGTATTTTACTGTTCCCTTTTTCTGGGGGCTCACTGGGGCTGTGCAGCTTGACCAAGATCACACAGGCTGGCTCTGCTCACAACAGTGCCCAGAGGGGGAATCAAACTCCCAACCTCTGGTTCCGCAGCCAGAGACCTACAGCCCTGAGCTACTCGGAGAGCTAGCTCTTTTTTTTAATGAATATCAATTTGCTGCCAAGACCTGTGTGGTTTTCTTTATCTAAGTGTAGATCTGCAGTAGGATTCTGGCCCTTGTCTTCCTTTACACACAGAGTAGGAGGGAAAATTAAAGGAGAACGTAAGAAGTTGCCTTGTACTGGTTCAAACCGTTGGTCCATCCAACCCCAGTATTGCCAACTCTGACTGGCAGCCCCTCTTTGGAGCTGCAAGCAGAGCCATTTCCTAGAGATGGCAGGGACTGAACTGAATGGAGACCGTATGCTTTTAAGAATGAGTACAACTCCTCTTCACGTGGTATCAGGCACTGCTCAGGTTGGACTTGACTCAACCTTGACTCAACTTCAAAACATTCTTCCCTCCCCCTTTTAAAAAAATTAGCCAGTGTCTCAAAGTCTACAGATTACTAGTAATCCATAGATACAGTATTTAACCTGCCACTTACCCAGTGTTAATTCCCATGGAGTTCAGGACAGCCTCTTGGTCAAATCAAAACTTACAGTGGGCCTCCTCTATCCTTTTCAATGGGATTTCTTCTACTTTAAATGTTCTCTTGTAAGAACAATGCATGGGGAACAAACAAGAGAGATGAATTTGGGGGGAACAGGGACAATGGATTTCTCTTTAAGACTTGAAATTTGCTTGTTGGGGGAGGAGAACGGGCTGAAACAATGGCCGTGTTCATGCAGGGCCTGAGAATATATCAAGGGACAGGAAAATAGCTGGAGTAAACATTGTGCCTCTTGTTAGCTTTGGATTGATCTTGGCCGGCTGCCGTACGCAACCCTGTGGCGTGCTGGTCTGTGGCTCACATAGGCCTCTTTTTTGTTCCTAAGATAATTTGCAAACATGGCCTTTCTGAATGAGGCATCTGTCTTTGTCCTTGCCGAGCACAGCATCCAGATATTGGGTTCAACATTTCACGAACACTCGGAGCCTCGATGTGGTCCGAGAAGCCAAGCGAGTAGTTGCACGTGGGGGTGGGAGAGAGACCACAAATTGGCATCTACGGAACCAACCTGCTGCAATCTGCTGGACCTTGATGGCACAGTGTGTTTAAGCATGTTTTAAGTAGCATTAAAACCAAATTAACATATTTTTTCCTTCCTCATATATATTAAAGAACAGGGGTGGGCAAACAGAGCCCATAGGCTACATGGTAACACCAGCATCACTTGCTGGTGCTCAGTATTTTTTTCACTAGCATCTCAGGAACCATGGTTTTAATTCGTTCCCCTGAGTTTCTAGTCCCTTTTACAACTTCAGTACAGTGGTGCCCCGCATGACGATGATAATCCATCCCATTGAAATCGCTATTTAGCGAAATCGTCGTCATGCAAAATCTGTTTCCCCATTGGAATGCATTGAACCCTGTTTAATGCGTTCCAATGGGGAAAATACCTCGTCGTCCAGCAAAGATTGCCCATAGGGAAGCCATTTTGTGAGCGCCGATCAGCTGTAAAAATGGCTGTCCTACAAAGCATGGGTCTGGAAAACACAGGGCAGCCATTTTGCGAAACCGACGATCAGCTGTAAAAATCGTCATCTTGTGAACAAACGGTCCGCGAAGCACAGACCAAATCATCGTCAAGCAAAAATCCCCCATTGGAATGACTGTTTTGCGAATCACTATAGTGCTCGCAAAAAGTAATCGTTATGCAGATTTGTCGTTATGCGGATTCATCATTTAGCGGTGTCGTCGTCTTGCAAGGTACCACTGTAATTGTGAATGGAACAGCCTGGGCACAAAAAAGGGAGACATACATTGATTCAAAGTATCTCTTCTTGGTTTCTTTGAACACTTGCATCCCCTCCCTGAGCATTATTGAACAAATAGCTAGTTTTTGGATTGGTTCATATTTACTTTCAGAACAGGAAGGTCACAGTGAACACCATGTGCAATAGGTGCAGTGATTTGGTATCAAATCATACAGTAATTGTGTGAAACATCCATACAAATGCTCTTGTCCCTCATGATGCTTTTCCACGGTGGCCTTTCATCAGAAATGTGTTGCCCACCCCTGTCATAAGCCGTAGTTATCTTATTAACTTACTATAACTCCAGAGAAACATTAATCTTTTTTTTTTTTCATTTTCAGTTCAGGTTTCCTGTAGATCCTATCCTTTTGCTCCAGAAGTGACCACCCCACATTTTGCGTTAACACGCCTGTAACTGTTTGTGTGTCTGTCTCCTTCCCATTGCACCCTCTTGCTTAGTTTTGCCCTTTTTTCTTTCTGTTTTTTAAATGCAAGAAGCAACTGTACTCACTTTGCTGTTCTGAGTGGAGGACTTGGTGGCCATTTCTACAGAGTTGCCGAGAGAAACTCTCTGTCATGTGTCCAGTTTAGCTTTATAGACAAGAAGCTGGCAGGACGAAAGTCCCTAAAATATTTATGCTGTCGCCTCGTTTATGCATCTGGAGGGCGAGCATGCATGGCAAGACGGCACCTTTGCTTACTGCTCTCACGGTGATGCCTGTCACAGACTCTTTGGTGAAGGCAAAAAGCTGTGTGCAAAAGATTCCTCTTTTTTTTCTTTCTTTCTTTTTCCCCAGGCTTACTTGATACGGTTTTTATAGCATTCTTTGTGAGTTTTTAGTCCATTGGAATCATGGCTTCATGAAATACATTTTGATGTTACAAAACATGCCACAGAGTTGATGCGAAAGTAGCAAATGTGAGATATTTTTCTTTACAAAAAGGAGTTGGTGGGACAGAATGTCAACATGACTAAAACCTGAAAAGGTTAATTTTTCACATAGCAAAAACAGCCATGACGGTTGGGGGATTTGGTAGTTGTAGTCCCCCAAGGGAGGGCCACAGATGGGGTAGATGGGGCATGTAGTAGAATACTCATGTGTAGGCCACCCTACACATGAGTATTCTACTACATACTTTCTAATGCCCAAAGAGGTCTAGAGTTCTCAACCCTTTTGTGAAGCTACATTTCCCAGTATTCTTTCAGAGAAGATTGGCAGCTCGCCACATCCATGTTCACTGGGAAATAAACCCTACATGTAAGTGCTCAGATTAAACTGGTACATATTTGTAGCATAGATGTGTACCCCAACCCATATTACTTTGAAGAGCCAAAAAGAGCAAACAGGGTCTCCTGAATTTGTAGGACAAGCCCCCCACCCAAGCTCTTGGCCATCAAGCGTTTTTATTATTATTATTATTACTGTTACACGAACACTCCCTTTTAACAAGATAATTTTTATTTCTTCCTGTAGCAATCAGCTAGGTCAGTAGGCTTGCAGTATAAGTATGTGAGGTATCCCACCCCACCCTATCCCAGTAAGATTTCAATGCCAAGTATAGATTTGAACCCATCTTGTTGTCCCATACTCTTATCAATTACTCCCCGGTGGCTCTCCTAATAAACTGATTAGTGTTTTGGTGTGTACTACTTTTCTCCCAACATGAGATCCATGCATGACCCTTTTCTCAATACAGAAAATCTAGTCTACTAATTATCCCCGGATTCCTAGACCAGTAGGTGTTAATTGGCGGTATGTGTACCACCAGTGAAAGGAAGAAGTTGTTTAGAGTTCAGTCAAGGAATCTCGTGGCGCAGACCTGCCATCGTAAGATCGAACCCACGCAGCGGAGTGAGCTCCCATCGCTTGTCCAGGGTCTCCTGAATTTGTAGGACAAGCCCCCCACCCAAGCTCTTGGCCATCAAGCGTTTTTATTATTATTATTATTACTGTTACACGAACACTCCCTTTTAACAAGATAATTTTTATTTCTTCCTGTAGCAATCAGCTAGGTCAGTAGGCTTGCAGTATAAGTATGTGAGGTATCCCACCCCACCCTATCCCAGTAAGATTTCAATGCCAAGTATAGATTTGAACCCATCTTGTTGTCCCATACTCTTATCAATTACTCCCCGGTGGCTCTCCTAATAAACTGATTAGTGTTTTGGTGTGTACTACTTTTCTCTCAACATGAGATCCACGCATGACCCTTTTCTCAATACAGAAAAGCTAGTCTACTAATTATCCCGGATTCCTAGACCAGTAGGTGTTAATTGGCGGTATGTGTACCACCAGTGAAAGGAAGAAGTTGTTTAGAGTTCAGTCAAGGAATTTCATAATGATTGTTAAGAAGTCATTCTCTCGTGGCCCTTGTGTCTTCCTGTAAATGTAAGGTGCCTTCTCTTACTCAAACCTTCCTACCCTGGATTTTCTGCTAGTGAGCTAGTAGTAACTTCTGCCATCCGCTGTTTCCGCTAATCTCAAATTCGCTTTGCTTTTTTGCTTTGTAATGAT